AGTCTCTACGAGTCTCTGTGGGACTCTATGAGTCTCTGTGGGTCTCTATGAGTGTCTCTGAGTCTCTACGAGTCTCTGTGGGTCTCTGTGAGTCTCTATGAGTCTCTGTGGGTCTCTATGAGTGTCTCTGAGTCTCTACGAGTCTCTGTGGGTCTCTATGAGTCTCTGCGGGTCTCTATGAGTGTCTCTGAGTCTCTACGAGTCTCTGTGGGTCTCTATGAGTCTCTGCGGGTCTCTTTGAGTGTCTCTGAGTCTCTACGAGTCTCTGTGGGTCTCTATGAGTCTCTGTGGGTCTCTATGAGTGTCTCTGAGTCTCTACGAGTCTCTGTGGGTCTCTGTGAGTCTCTATGAGTCTCTGTGGGTCTCTATGAGTGTCTCTGAGTCTCTACGAGTCTCTGTGGGTCTCTGTGGGTCTCTATGAGTGTCTCTGAGAGTCTCTGTGGGTCTCTATGAGTGTCTCTGAGTCTCTGTGAGTCTCTGTGGGTCTCTGTGAGTCTCTGTGAGTCTCTATGAGTCTCTGTGGGTCTCTGTGGGTCTCTGTGGGTCTCTGTGGGTCTCTATGAGTGTCTATGAGTGTCTCTGAGTCTCTGTGAGTCTCTGCGGGTCTCTATGAGTGTCTCTGAGTCTCTACGAGTCTCTGAGTCTCTATGAGTGTCTCTGAGTCTCTGCGAGTCTCTGTGGGTCTCTGTGAGTCTCTGTGAGTCTCTGTGGGTCTCTATGAGTGTCTCTGAGTCTCTGTGAGTCTCTGTGGGTCTCTGTGAGTCTCTGAGTCTCTGTGAGTCTCTGTGGGTCTCTATGAGTGTCTCTGAGTCTCTACGAGTCTCTGTGGGTCTCTGAGAGTCTCTGAGTCTCTGTGTGTCTCTATGAGTCTCTATGAGTGTCTATGAGTCTCTGTGGGTCTCTATGAGTGTCTCTGTGGGTCTCTATGAGTCTCTATGAGTGTCTCTGAGTCTCTGTGAGTCTCTGTGGGTCTCTGTGGGTCTCTGTGAGTCTCTGTGAGTCTCTGTGGGTCTCTGTGAGTCTCTATGGGTCTCTGTGGGTCTCTATGAGTGTCTCTGAGTCTCTACGAGTCTCTGCGGGTCTCTATGAGTGTCTCTGTGGGTCTCTGTGGGTCTCTGTGAGTCTCTATGAGTGTCTCTGAGTCTCTACGAGTCTCTGTGGGTCTCTGTGGGTCTCTGAGTCTCTGAGTCTCTGTGGGTCTCTGTGGGTCTCTGTGAGTCTCTCTGAGTCTCTGTGAGTCTCTCTGAGTCTCTGTGAGTCTCTGAGTCTCTATGAGTGTCTCTGAGTCTCTGTGAGTCTCTGTGGGTCTCTGTGAGTCTCTGTGAGTCTCTGTGGGTCTCTATGAGTGTCTCTGAGTCTCTGTGAGTCTCTGTGGGTCTCTGTGAGTGTCTCTGAGTCTCTACGAGTCTCTGTGGGTCTCTATGAGTCTCTGAGTCTCTATGAGTGTCTCTGAGTCTCTGTGAGTCTCTGTGGGTCTCTGTGAGTCTCTGTGAGTCTCTGTGGGTCTCTATGAGTGTCTCTGAGTCTCTGTGAGTCTCTGTGGGTCTCTGTGAGTCTCTGAGTCTCTGTGAGTCTCTGTGGGTCTCTATGAGTGTCTCGGAGTCTCTACGAGTCTCTGTGGGTCTCTATGAGTCTCTATGAGTGTCTATGAGTCTCTGTGGGTCTCTATGAGTGTCTCTGTGGGTCTCTATGAGTCTCTATGAGTGTCTCTGAGTCTCTGTGAGTCTCTGTGGGTCTCTGTGGGTCTCTGTGAGTCTCTGTGGGTCTCTGTGGGTCTCTATGAGTGTCTCTGAGTCTCTGTGGGTCTCTGTGGGTCTCTATGAGTCTCTGTGGGTCTCTGTGTGTGTCTCTGAGTCTCTGTGAGTCTCTATGAGTCTCTGTGGGTCTCTATGAGTGTCTCTGAGTCTCTAAGAGTCTCTGTGGGTCTCTATGAGTGTCTCTGTGGGTCTCTGTGGGTCTCTGTGGGTCTCTATGAGTCTCTATGAGTGTCTCTGAGTCTCTGTGAGTCTCTGTGGGTCTCTGTGGGTCTCTATGAGTGTCTATGAGTGTCTCTGAGTCTCTACGAGTCTCTGTGGGTCTCTGTGAGTGTCTCTGAGTCTCTACGAGTCTCTGTGGGTCTCTATGAGTGTCTCTGAGTCTCTGTGAGTCTCTGTGAGTCTCTGTGGGTCTCTATGAGTGTCTCTGAGTCTCTGAGTCTCTGTGGGTCTCTGTGGGTCTCTATGAGTGTCTCTGAGTCTCTACGAGTCTCTGTGGGTCTCTATGAGTGTCTGCGGGTCTCTATGAGTGTCTCTGAGTCTCTACGAGTCTCTGTGGGTCTCTATGAGTGTCTCTGAGTCTCTACGAGTCTCTGTGGGTCTCTATGAGTGTCTCTGAGTCTCTACGAGTCTCTGTGGGTCTCTATGAGTGTCTCTGAGTCTCTACGAGTCTCTGTGGGTCTCTGTGAGTGTCTGAGTCTCTACGAGTCTCTGTGGGTCTCCATGAGAGTCTCTGAGTCTCTACGAGTCTCTGTGGGTCTCTGTGGGTCTCTATGAGTGTCTCTGAGTCTCTGTGAGTCTCTGTGAGTCTCTGTGAGTCTCTGAGTCTCTGAGGGTCTCTATGAGTCTCTGTGGGTCTCTATGAGTGTCTCTGAGTCTCTGTGAGTCTCTGTGGGTCTCTGCGGGTCTCTATGAGTGTCTCTGAGTCTCTACGAGTCTCTGTGGGTCTCTATGAGTCTCTGCGGGTCTCTATGAGTGTCTCTGAGTCTCTACGAGTCTCTGTGGGTCTCTATGAGTCTCTGTGGGTCTCTATGAGTGTCTCTGAGTCTCTACGAGTCTCTGTGGGTCTCTGTGAGTCTCTATGAGTCTCTGTGGGTCTCTATGAGTGTCTCTGAGTCTCTACGAGTCTCTGTGGGTCTCTATGAGTCTCTGCGGGTCTCTATGAGTGTCTCTGAGTCTCTACGAGTCTCTGTGGGTCTCTATGAGTCTCTGCGGGTCTCTTTGAGTGTCTCTGAGTCTCTACGAGTCTCTGTGGGTCTCTATGAGTCTCTGTGGGTCTCTATGAGTGTCTCTGAGTCTCTACGAGTCTCTGTGGGTCTCTGTGAGTCTCTATGAGTCTCTGTGGGTCTCTATGAGTGTCTCTGAGTCTCTACGAGTCTCTGTGGGTCTCTATGAGTGTCTCTGAGTCTCTGAGTCTCTGTGAGTCTATGTGGGTCTCTATGAGTGTCTATGAGTGTCTCTGAGTCTCTACGAGTCTCTGTGGGTCTCTATGAGTGTCTCTGAGTCTCTACGAGTCTCTGAGTCTCTATGAGTCTCTATGGGTCTCTATGAGTGTCTCTGAGTCTCTACGAGTCTCTGTGGGTCTCTATGAGTGTCTCTGAGTCTCTACGAGTCTCTGAGTCTCTATGAGTCTCTATGAGTGTCTCTGAGTCTCTGTGGGTCTCTATGAGTGTCTATGAGTGTCTCTGAGTCTCTACGAGTCTCTGTGGGTCTCTATGAGTGTCTCTGAGTCTCTACGAGTCTCTGTGGGTCTCTATGAGTGTCTCTGAGTCTCTACGAGTCTCTGTGGGTCTCTATGAGTGTCTCTGAGTCTCTACGAGTCTCTGTGGGTCTCTGTGAGTCTCTGTGAGTCTCTGTGGGTCTCTATGAGTGTCTCTGAGTCTCTACGAGTCTCTGTGGGTCTCTATGAGTGTCTCTGAGTCTCTGAGTCTCTGTGAGTCTCTGTGGGTCTCTATGAGTGTCTATGAGTGTCTCTGAGTCTCTACGAGTCTCTGTGGGTCTCTATGAGTGTCTCTGAGTCTCTGAGTCTCTGTGGGTCTCTGTGGGTCTCTATGAGTGTCTCTGAGTCTCTGTGGGTCTCTGTGGGTCTCTATGAGTGTCTCTGAGTCTCTACGAGTCTCTGTGGGTCTCTGTGAGTCTCTACGAGTCTCTGTGGGTCTCTATGAGTGTCTCTGAGTCTCTACGAGTCTCTGTGAGTCTCTGAGTCTCTATGAGTCTCTGTGAGTCTCTGCGGGTCTCTATGAGTGTCTCTGAGTCTCTACGAGTCTCTGTGGGTCTCTATGAGTGTCTCTGAGTCTCTGTGGGTCTCTGTGGGTCTCTATGAGTGTCTCCGAGTCTCTACGAGTCTCTGTGGGTCTCTATGAGTGTCTGCGGGTCTCTATGAGTGTCTCTGAGTCTCTACGAGTCTCTGTGGGTCTCTATGAGTGTCTCTGAGTCTCTACGAGTCTCTGTGGGTCTCTGTGAGTCTCTGTGGGTCTCTGCGGGTCTCTATGAGTGTCTCTGAGTCTCTACGAGTCTCTGTGGGTCTCTATGAGTGTCTCTGAGTCTCTACGAGTCTCTGTGGGTCTCTATGAGTGTCTCTGAGTCTCTACGAGTCTCTGTGGGTCTCTGTGAGTCTCTGTGAGTCTCTGTGGGTCTCTGTGGGTCTCTATGAGTGTCTCTGAGTCTCTGTGAGTCTCTGAGTCTCTGTGGGTCTCTACGAGTCTCTGCGGGTCTCTATGAGTGTCTCTGAGTCTCTATGAGTGTCTCTGAGTCTCTGTGGGTCTCTGTGAGTCTCTGTGAGTCTCTGTGGGTCTCTGTGGGTCTCTATGAGTGTCTCTGAGTCTCTATGAGTCTCTGAGTCTCTGTGGGTCTCTGAGTCTCTGTGAGTTTCTGTGGGTCTCTGTGAGTCTCTGTGGGTCTCTATGAATGTCTCTATGAGTGTCTCTGAGTCTCTACGAGTCTCTGTGGGTCTCTATGAGTGTCTCTATGAGTGTCTCTGAGTCTCTACGAGTCTCTGTGGGTCTCTGTGGGTCTCTATGAGTGTCTCTGAGTCTCTACGAGTCTCTGCGGGTCTCTATGAGTGTCTCTGAGTCTCTACGAGTCTCTGTGGGTCTCTGTGGGTCTCTGTGGGTCTCTATGAGTGTCTGTGAGTCTCTACGAGTCTCTGTGGGTCTCTGAGTCTCTGTGAGTCTCTGTGGGTCTCTGTGGGTCTCTGTGGGTCTCTATGAGTGTCTCTGAGTCTCTACGAGTCTCTGTGGGTCTCTACGAGTGTCTCTATGAGTGTCTCTGAGTCTCTATGAGTGTCTGTGGGTCTCTATGAGTCTCTGTGGGTCTCTATGAGTGTCTCTATGAGTGTCTCTGAGTCTCTACGAGTCTCTTCTGGGTCTCTACGAATCCGGGTCCAGGCCGCAACGCTTCATCTCCACGGCGAGTGAGAAAAGGTAATGGTAGCATTCACACCTGCACACGCAGAGACACGCAGAGACACAGAGACATGCATTCACACCTGCACACGCAGAGACACGCAGAGACACGAACACGCAGAGACACGCAGAGACACGCACACGCAGAGACATGCAGAGACACAGAGACACGCAGAGACACGCAGAGACACGCAGAGACACACGGAGACACACACACAGAGACACGCAGAGACACGCACACGCACAGACACACAGAGACATGCAGAGACACAGAGACATGCAGAGACACAGAGACACACAGAGACACGCAGAGACACGCAGAGACACACGGAGACACACACATGCAGAGACATGCAGAGACACGCAGAGACAAGCACACGCAGAGACACACAGAGACAGAGACACGTAGAGACAGAGACACGCAGAGATACACAGAGACAGAGACACGCAGAGACACACATAGACAGAGACACGCAGAGACACATAGAGACACGCAGAGACACGCAGAGAGACACGCAGAGACACACAGAGACACGCAGAGACACACAGAGACACGTAGAGACACACAGAGACAGAGACACACACAGAGACACGCAGAGACAGAGACATGCAGACACACATAGAGACACGCACACGCAGAGACACGCAGAGACACACAGAGACAGAGACACACACAGACACACACAGAGACACACAGAGGCAGAGAAACACAGAGACACACAGAGACACACAGAGACAGAGACACACAGAGACACATAGAGACACACAGAGACAGAGACACACAGAGACACATAGAGACACAGAGACACACAGAGACAGATACACACAGAGACACATAGAGACACACAGAGACAGAGACACACAGAGACACACAGAGACAGAGACACACAGACACACAGAGACACATAGAGACACACAGAGACACACAGAGACACACAGAGACAGAGACACACAGAGATACACAGAGACACACAGAGACACACAGAGACACATAGAGACAGAGACACACAGAGACACATAGAGACACACAGAGACAGAGACACACAGACACACAGAGACACATAGAGACACACAGAGACACACAGAGACACACAGAGACAGAGACACACAGAGATACATAGAGACACACAGAGACACATAGAGACAGAGACACACAGAGACACATAGAGACACACAGAGACAGAGACACACAGAGACACACAGAGACAGAGACACACAGAGACACACAGAGACACACAGAGACAGAGACACACAGAGACACACAGAGACACATAGAGACACACAGAGACACACAGAGACAGAGACACACAGAGACACACAGAGACACACAGAGACAGAGACACACAGAGACACACAGAGACACAGAGACACAGAGACACCCAGAGACACACAGAGACACGCAGAGATACGCAACCCGTTCACACGTCCCCCCGTGTCTCCCCCCTGTCCCCTGTCCCCCTGTCCCCCCACGTGTCTCACTGTCTTGGCCTGCTGCCACGTGTCTCCACACACGTAGACTCCGTGTCTCCCCCCTGTCCCCACGTGTCTCACATTGTCTTTGCCTGCTGCCACGTGTCTCCCCACACGTAGACTCCGTGTCTCCCCCCTGTCCCCCTGTCCCCACGTGTCTCCCCACACGTAGACTCCGTGTCTCCCCCCTGTCCCCCTGTGTCTCACATTGTCTTAGCCTGCTGCCACGTGTCTCCCCACACGTAGACTCCGTGTCTCCCCCCTGTCCCCCTGTCCCCACGTGTCTCCCCACACGTAGACTCCGTGTCTCCCCCCTGTCCCCCTGTGTCTCACATTGTCTTAGCCTGCTGCCACGTGTCTCCACACACGTAGACTCCGTGTCTCCCCCCTGTCCCCACGTGTCTCACATTGTCTTAGCCTGCTGCCACGTGTCTCCCCACACGTAGACTCCGTGTCTCCTCCCTGTCCCCCTGTCCCCTGTCCCCTGTCCCCCTGTCCCCACGTGTCTCACATTGTCTTCGCCTGCTGCCACGTGTCTCCCCACACGTAGACTCCGTGTCTCCTTCCTGTCCCCTGTCCCCCCTGTCTCCCCCACGTGTCTCACATTGTCTTAGCCTGCTGCTACGTGTCTCCCCACACGTAGACTCCGTGTCTCCCCACACGTAGACTCCGTGTCTCCCCCCTGTCCCCACGTGTCTCACATTGTCTTTGCCTGCTGCCACGTGTCTCCCCACGCGTAGACTCCGTGTCTCCTCCCTGTCCCCCTGTCCCCCTGTCCCCACGTGTCTCACATTGTCTTGACCTGCTGCTACGTGTCTCCCCACACGTAGACTCCGTGTCTCCTCCCTGTCCCCCTGTCCCCCTGTCCCCACGTGTCTCACATTGTCTTCGCCTGCTGCCACGTGTCTCCACACACGTAGACTCCGTGTCTCCTCCCTCTCCCCCTGTCCCCCTGTCCCCACGTGTCTCACTGTCTTAGCCTGCTGCCACGTGTCTCCACACACGTAGACTCCGTGTCTCCCCCCTGTCCCCCCCACGTGTCTCACATTGTCTTAGCCTGCTGCCACGTGTCTCCCCACACGTAGACTCCGTGTCTCCCCACACGTAGACTCCGTGTCTCCCCCCTGTCCCCACGTGTCTCACATTGTCTTAGCCTGCTGCCACGTGTCTCCCCACACGTAGACTCCGTGTCTCCTCACGAGGACGGCGTTGGTGTCCGGGTGGACCTCCATGGCGTGTCTCATGGAGCTCTCAAGGTCGGCCTCGTGCAAAGTGTTCTCTATCACGGGTACCACCAGCGTGTCGCTGTAGCTACACACACAGAGACACACACAGAGACACACACAGACACACACACAGACACACACACAGAGACACACACAGAGTGTTCTCTATCACGGGTACCACCAGGGTGTCGCTGTAGCTACACACACAGAGACACACACAGAGACACACACAGAGACACACACAGAGTGTTCTCTATCACGGGTACCACCAGCGTGTCGCTGTAGCTACACACACAGAGACACACAGAGACACACACAGAGACACACACAGAGACACACACAGAGTGTTCTCTATCACGGGTACCACCAGCGTGTCGCTGTAGCTACACACACAGAGACACACACAGAGACACACACAGACACACACAGAGACACACACAGAGAGACACACACAGAGTGTTCTCTATCACGGGTACCACCAGCGTGTCGCTGTAGCTACACACACAGAGACACACAGAGACACACAGAGACACACACAGAGACACACACAGAGACACACACACAGAGACACACACAGAGACACACACAGAGACACACACACAGAGACACACACAGAGACACACACAGAGACACACAGATACACACACACAGACACACACAGAGTGTTCTCTATCACGGGTACCACCAGAGTGTCGCTGTAGCTACACACACAGAGACACACACAGAGACACACACAGAGACACACACAGAGACACACACAGAGACACACACAAAGTGTTCTCTATCACGGGTATCACCAGCGTGTCGCTGTAGCTACACACACAGAGACACACACAGAGACACACACACAGAGACACACACAGAGACACAACACAGAGTGTTCTCTATCACAGGTACCACCAGCGTGTCGCTGTAGCTACACACACAGAGACACACACAGAGACACACACAGAGACACACACAGAGACACACACAGAGACACACACAAAGTGTTCTCTATCACGGGTACCACCAGAGTGTCGCTGTAGCTACACACACAGAGACACACACAGAGACACACAGAGACACACACAGAGACACACACAGAGACACACACAGAGTGTTCTCTATCACGGGTACCACCAGCGTGTCGCTGTAGCTACACACACAGAGACACACACACAGAGACACACACACAGAGACACACACAGAGACACACACAGAGACACACAGAGACACACACAGAGACACACACAGAGTGTTCTCTATCACGGGTACCACCAGCGTGTCGCTGTAGCTACACACACATAGACACAGAGACACACACAGAGACACACACAGAGACACACACAGAGACACACACACAGAGACACACAGAGACACAGACAGAGACACACACAGAGACACACAGAGACACACACAGAGACACACACAGAGACACACACAGTGACACACACAGAGACACACAGAGACACACACAGAGACACACAGAGACACACACAGAGTGTTCTCTATCACGGGTACCACCAGCGTGTCGCTGTAGCTACACACACAGAGACACACAGAGACACACACAGACACACACAGAGACACACACAGAGACACAGAGACACACACAGAGACACACACAGACACACACAGAGACACACACACAGAGACACACACACAGAGACACACACAGAGATACACACAGACACATACAGAGTGTTCTCTATCACGGGTACCACCAGCGTGTCGCTGTAGCTACACACACAGAGACACACACAGAGACACACAGAGACACACAGAGACACACACAGAGACACACAGAGACACACAGAGACACACAGAGACACACACACAGAGACACACAGAGACACACACAGAGACACACACAGAGACACACACAGAGTGTTCTCTATCACGGGTACCACCAGCGCGTCGCTGTAGCTACACACACAGAGACACACACAGAGACACACACAGAGACACACACAGAGACACACACAGAGACACACACAGAGACACACACACACAGACACACACAGAGACACACACAGAGTGTTCTCTATCACGGGTACCACCAGCGTGTCGCTCTAGCTACACACACAGAGACACACAGAGACACACACAGAGACACACAAAGAGACACACACAGAGACACACACAGAGACACACACAGAGACACACACAGAGACACACACAGAGACACACACACAGAGACACACACAGAGTGTTCTCTATCACGGGTACCACCAGCGTGTCGCTGTAGCTACACACACAGAGACACACAGAGACACACACAGAGACACACAGAGACACACACAGAGACACACACAGAGACACACACAGAGTGTTCTCTATCACGGGTACCACCAGCGTGTCGCTGTAGCTACACACACAGAGACACACAGAGACACACACAGAGACACACACAGAGACACACACAGAGACACACACAGAGACACACACAGAGACACACACAGAGTGTTCTCTATCACGGGTACCACCAGCGTGTCGCTGTAGCTACACACACAGAGACACACACAGAGACACAGAGACACACACAGAGACACACACAGACACACACAGAGACACACACACAGAGACACACACACACACAGACACACACAGAGACACACACAGAGACACACACAGAGACACACATACAGAGACACACACAGAGACACAGACAGAGACACACACAGAGACAGACAGAGACACACACAGAGTGTTCTCTATCACGGGTACCACCAGCGTGTCGCTGTAGCTACACACACAGAGACACACACAGAGACACACACAGAGACACACACACAGAGACACACAGAGACACACACAGAGACACACACAAAGTGTTCTCTATCACGGGTACCACCAGAGTGTCGCTGTAGCTACACACACAGAGACACACACAGAGACACAGACAGAGACACACACAGACACACACAGAGACACACACAGAGACACACACAGAGACACACACAGAGACACACAGAGACACACACAGAGACACACACAGAGACACACACACACAGAGACACACACAGAGACACACACAGACACACACACAGAGACACACACAGAGTGTTCTCTATCACGGGTACCACCAGCGTGTCGCTGTAGCTACACACACAGAGACACACACAGAGACACACACACAGAGACACACACAGAGTGTTCTCTATCACGGGTACCACCAGCGTGTCGCTGTAGCTACACACACAGAGACACACACAGAGACACACACAGAGACACACACAGAGACACACACAGAGTGTTCTCTATCACGGGTACCACCAGCGTGTCGCTGTAGCTACACACACAGAGACACACAGCGACACACACAGAGACACACAGAGACACACACAGAGACACACACAGAGACACACACAGAGACACACACACAGAGACACACACAGAGACACACACACAGAGACACACACAGAGACACACACAGAGTGTTGTCTATCACGGGTACCACCAGAGTGTCGCTGTAGCTACACACACAGAGACACACACAGAGACACACACAGAGACACACACAGAGACACACACAGAGACACACACAGAGACACACACAGAGTGTTCTCTATCACGGGTACCACCAGAGTGTCGCTGTAGCTACACACACAGAGACACACACAGAGACACACAGAGACACACACAGAGACACACACAGAGTGTTCTCTATCACGGGTACCACCAGCGTGTCGCTGTAGCTACACACACAGAGACACACAGAGAGACACACACAGACACACACAGAGATACAGAGACACACACACAGAGACACACACACACAGAGACACACACAGAGTGTTCTCTATCACAGGTACAACCAGCGTGTCGCTGTAGCTACACACACAGAGACACACAGAGAGACACAGAGACACACACAGAGACACACACAGAGACACACACAGAGACACACACACAGAGACACACACAGAGACACACACACAGAGACACCCACAGAGGCACACACAGAGACACACACAGAGACACACACAGAGTGTTCTCTATCACGGGTACCACCAGCGTGTCACTGTAGCTACACACACAGAGACACAGAGACACACACAGAGACACACACAGAGTGTTCTCTATCACAGGTACCACCAGCGTGTCGCTGTAGCTACACACACACAGACACACACAGAGACACACACAGAGACACACACAGAGACACACAGACACACACAGAGACACACAGAGACACACACAGAGACACACACAGAGACACATACAGAGTGTTCTCTATCACGGGTACCACCAGCATGTCGCTGTAGCTACACACACAGAGACACACAGAGACACACACAGAGACACACACAGAGACACACACACAGAGACACACACAGAGTGTTCTCTATCACAGGTACCACCAGCGTCTCGCTGTAGCTACACACACAGAGACACACACAGACACACACACAGAGACACACACACAGAGACACACACAGAAACACACAGAGACACACACACAGAGACACACACAGAGACACACACAGAGACACAGAGACACACACACAGAGACACACACGGAGACACACACAGAGACACACACACAGAGACACACACACAGAGTGTTCTCTATCACGGGTACCACCAGCGTGTCGCTGTAGCTACACACACAGAGACACACACAGAGACACACACAGAGACACACACAGAGACACACACAGAGAGACACACAGAGTGTTCTCTATCACGGGTACCACCAGCGTGTCGCTGTAGCTACACACACAGAGACACACACAGAGACACACACAGAGACACACACAGAGTGTTCTCTATCACGGGTACCACCAGCGTGTCGCTGTAGCTACACACACAGAGACACACACAGAGACACACACAGAGTGTTCTCTATCACAGATACC